AACGTTTTCATCAACTTCCCTGGTCTTCTTTACCAAACATGATGCCCTTCTCTGGAAGCTGGTCTTTCCTGAAGTTGAAGTCTCAGGCAATATTCTATGATCCATAGGATTTTCACTGGAAGCTTTTCCAAAGAAGATTCTCCCTAGTCTATCTTAGTTGGGGGCCCTGCTGAAACCTGGTCACCCTGGTGATCCTGCTGGTCTTTCAAACACTGATGGCATAGTTTCCAGTATCATAGCAACATGCAGGCCACCACAGTATGACAAACTGACATATGGGTGGTGCTGGTATATGGCTTGACCTAACCTCAAACTTCTATGTCCTCCATAGCCTCAGATAGGGCCAGTGTTAAGTACTCGGGGTCAGTTCCTGACAGAGGGTAGGTGTCAGTGTGAACAATGGAACCCATGTTATTTCAAATAGGACAGACACATTCAAGTCCCATGACATGAGGAGATGTCTTTGTAAAGAAACTGTGGGGCCACCTCTTCAAATGTGAGGAATTTCAAGGCCCACAAGCAAGTTAGGAGAGAAAAGGCTTTAATGGGATGAGCAGCACCATGGGTGGAGACTTCCAGCACAGGTAGCTTGAAGGCTCCTGTTCTTCTCCCATCCATACACCGGTCACCGCTGCAGTGCTCTAAGGTCATGCAAGAATTAAGTCCTCGCTGCTCAAAAGCCACACTGGGGTTTGGATCTGGGAGTGAAGTGAAGACGTTTTCAAATGCTATCATCCTCCCAAATCCAGGGCATTCTTTCATTAGAAAGCGGTCCATTTGGCTCTGAACTATATTTAGGGTTGTGGTTCAACCATGATCAAAGTTAAACTCCAGCCAACAAACAGTCCTTGAACTAACTACAAGCTTTTCTTTCTTGTTGTGTTTTATTGTGTTTTGTTTTGTTGTCATTGGCTTGTTTTTGTTGTTGTTTTGATTTAGTTTATTGCTTGGTTTTGCTCTGTCTTGTTTTTGTGCATGTTATTATCTCCGCAGGTCTGTCTAAATAAGACAGGCTGGATGAACAATCTGGAGGAGAAAACAATGGGACTGACGGTTCCAGGGGGACATGGGAAAAGGGGAGGTGGGGAGAAAGGAAGTGGTGTTAACAAACCCAGGGACAAGGGAACAACAAGTGATCCAAATCGGTAGTGAGGAGGGTGTAGGAGGCCTGGTAGGGTGTGATCAAGGGTAATGTAACCAAGAGGAATTACTGAAACCCAAATGAAGGCTAAACATGATAGTGGGACAAGACGAAAGTAAAAAAGAAATAGAGGAAAGAGCTAGGAGACAAAGGGCATTTATAGAGGTCTAAATAAAGGCATGTACATATGTAAATATATTTATATATGACAATGGGGATATAGATCTATATGCATATATTTATAGGTTTCGTATTAAGGTAGCAGATGGACATTGGGACTCTACTCAAGTACTCCCTCGATGCAAGAATACTTTGTTCTATTAAACTGGCATTCCATGATGCTCACCTTCCTGACACAATTGCTGAGGACAAAACAGGTGCATGAGCTAAGGTGACCAGATTTAAAGTGGAACACCACTGATGGGGGGTGGGGTGTCTTGATGAAAAATTTGGTCTATATGGACCAAATAGACCATTCCCTAGCTTGTCGTGCATTCTTTCCAAAAATCGGGACTTTTTAAAAACGCCAAAAATCGGGACTGTCTGGTCACCTTAGAAGAAAGCTGATGGTGCCCAGCTATCAAAAGATATAGCACCTGGGGTCTTAAAGGGTTGAAGGTAAACAAGTGGCCATCTAGCTGAGAAGCAGCAAAGCCCACATGGAAGAAGCACACCAGCCTGCGTGATCACGAGGTGTCGAAGGGATCAGCTATCAGGCATCAAAGAACAAAGAATCATATTATTGTGTGCTCACTTCCCCAAGACGATCACTGAAGACATATGGGTGCATAAGCAAATGTGGTGAAGAAAGCTGAAGGTGCCCGGCTATCAAAAGATATAGCACCTGGGGTCTTAAAGGGTTGAAGGTAAACAAGTGGCCATCTAGCTGAGAAGCAACAAAGCCCACATGGAAGAAGCACACCAGCATGTGCGATCACAAGGTGTCGAAGGGATCAGGTATCAGGCATCATCAGAACAAAAATTCTTATCATTGTGAATGAGGGGGAGTGCGGAGTGGAGACCCAAAGCCCATCTCTGTAGGCAATTGGACATCCCCTAACGGAAGGGTCGTGGGGAGGAGACAAACCAATCAGGACGCAGTGTAGCAACGATGAAACATATAACTTTCCTCTAGTTCCTAAATGCTTCCTCCCTCCTCCCCCCGACTATCATCTTCCCAATTCTACCTTACAAATCTGGCCAGACAAGAGGATGTACACTGGTACAGATAGGAAATGGAAACACAGGGAATCCAGGACAGATGATCCCTTCAGGACCAGTGGCGAGAGTGGTGGTACCGGGAGGGTGAAGCGAGGGTGGGGTGGAAAAGGGGAACCGATTACAAGTATCTACATATAACCTCCTCCCTGGGGGATGGACAACAGAACAACAGACAACAGGACAACAGAAAAGTGGGTGAAGGAAGGCGTCAGACAGTGTAAGATATGACAGAATAATAATTTATGAATTATCAAGGGGTTTACTTGGAGAACAAATGTTTTGAGAATGATGAGGGCAATGAATGTACAAATGTGCTTTACGCAATTGATGTATGTATGGATTGTGATAGGAGTTGTATGAGCCCCTCATAAAATGATTTTTTTTAAAAAGTTAAACTCCAAAATCCATCTTCATTTCATATACCTATTTGTATACAAATGGATTGTTTTTTACATTAACCTCATTTGCTCTTTATTAGATATTTAAATGCCCAAATAAATTTAATTTAAAGTAATGATTGCACCAAAGACCATTCTACCTCTGTAGTTGGCTGTGCTTCATAATCTCAGTATCATAAGAGTTACAGAAATGTAGTCGAGTGGGTGGGACGAGGGACAGGAAGGGTGAACATTTACAGGAAGAGAGTCTGGCTCTTTGGTTCACTACCTTCACCATCTCACTCGTGCTTCCCAAATTATTGTTTCTTTTAGCTCAAATGCATTGATTTTGGTTTAGGGGGTTAGTTGTTTATAATGGATCAATGTTTTTAAATCAACTATGTGCTTGTCATTCGTTTTTCTTTCTTTCACGTCAATAGTACTTAACTCCATGTTGGTAGTTTGTACTCCTTTCCTTACCTGATCCAGACATAACTGCTCATTCCAAAGGAGCCGTATGGGACAAGTGTGGATGGCCTTTTGACTTTTCTTTCTTTAGTGCTTATACAGCGGGGCCCTAAGGATGTGGCCTACTTGGACCAGGTTTCTGTTTCTGGCCCTGGTACCAAGGGAGGCTGTCTAGGAATAGTGGTTGCTTTCTCAGCACATCACTATAACGTTCCTTTGGGAGGCCCAAGAATCTGGTGGCTATCTTCCCAATCCCATCTTATTTTCCCTGAGAAAATATTCAGTTTCCTTCTTGGTTTACCAGTTCCCAAGGGGTTTGATTGAGGATTAACTTTTCAGCATTTCTAAATGCGTTGAGATTTCAGAAGAAAATTGTACATGAGGGAGGGGGAGGGGGAAAGTGAGCAACCGCTATTAAGGGCTCCAGTAGAAGGCAAATGTTTTGAGAATGATGATGGCAACAAATGTACATAATGTGCTTGACACAATGGATGTGTGTATGGATTGTGATAAGAATTGTACGAGCTCCCAATAAAATGATAAAAAAAAAGAAAATTGTATTTGGAATTGTTTGTCATCATTTCATGAATGAATGATGCTGGTACTGACACATTGACTTGTACAATCCAGCTACTCTAGATGCCAAATGACTTCACTGTTCTCCCTCTATCACTTATTAATGGGCATGCACTTTTTTATTAAATACTTTTATTGGGGGCTCTTACATCTCTTATCAAATTCCATACATTCATCCATTGTGTCAAGCACATTTGCACATATGCTGCCATCATCATTTTCAAAGCATTTTCTTTCTACTTGAGCCCTTGATATCAGTTACTCATCAGCCCCCTCCCTCCCCTCACTGCCCTCCCTCATGAACCCTTGATAAGTTATATATTATTATTTTCATATCCTACATCATCCTCTGTTGCCCTTTACCCACTTTTCTATTGTTTGTCCCCCTGGGAGGGGGTTATATATCGATCCTTGTGATAAATTTCCCCTTTCTCCCCCCACCTTCCCCTTATCCTCCTGGTATCTCTATTCTCATTGTTGGTCCTGAGGGGTTTATCTATCCTGGATCCCTGTGTTTTAGGCTCTTATCTGTAGCAGTGTGCATGTTCTGGTCTAATCCAATTTGTAAGGTAGAATTGAGGTCATGATAGTGGGGGAAAAGAAGTCATTAAAGGACTAGAGGAAAGTTGTGTGTTACATCGGTGCTATACTGCACCCTGACTGGCTCATCTCTTCCTTGTGACCCTTCTTTGAGGGGATGTCCAATTGTCTACAGGTGGGCTTTGGGTCTCCACTGCATGATCCCCCTTTCCCCCATTCACATCGGGTATGATTTTCTTCTGGGTCTTAGATGCCTGATACCTGATCCCATTGACACCTCATGATCACTCAGGCTGGTGTGCTTGCTTTTCAGATTGATGGCTGCTTGTTTATCTTCAAACCTTTTAAGACGCCAGACACTATATTTTTGATAGCCAGGCACTAGCAGCTTTTTTCACCACATTTGCTTATGCACGCATTTGTCTTCAGCAATCGTGTCGGGAAGGTGAGCATCACGGAATGCCGGGTTATCAGAACAAAGTGTTCTTGTGTTGAGGGAGGACTTGAGATGAGGCCCAATGTCCATCGGGCATGCATTTTGAAAAGTGCTTTGTACATCTTTTGCATGCCCATCCCTGAAAATCCTTTCCTATTTTAAGGCCTCTCTCCAGCTTAGCTGCTGTCATCGTGTTTGGGAAGTGTTGTTATTCGTTAATGCCGTGCCTTCCTTTTTACAGGAATAGAAGAACCACTGCTGGAGTTTGGCACACAAGCTGGGCTACAGACGTTGTTTTTTTCCTGAAAATAGTGCGTTGGGGGATGATCCCAGAGCTCCCTCTTGTGGCTTTCTGAAATAAACGCCTGTGAATTCTAAGTGATGACATCTGTTTTCATGACGCTAGTAAAGCCTCCCTCTGGGAATTCCACCCTGCACCTCCACTACCACTATGTGGGGAAGCTGGAGAGCAAGTTGGTGGACTCCACAAACAGCAGCACACTCACCACCGTCCTATACCTGATCATCTGCAGCTTCATCATCTTGGAGAACCTGATAGTTTTGATTGCCATCTGGAAAAACAACAGGTTTCACAGCCGCATGTACTTCTTCATCGGCAACCTGGCTCTCTGTGACTTGCTGGCTGGCATCGTGTATAAGGTCAACATTTTGATGTCAGGCAAGAAAACTCTCAGCCTGTCTTTGACCGTTTGGTTTATAAGGGAAGGCAGTATGTTTGTGGCTCTTGGGGCCTCCACGTGCAGCTTGTTGGCCATTGCTATTGAGAGGTATTTGACTATGATCAAAATGAGGTCTTACAATGCCAACAAGAAGTACCGTGTCTTCCTTCTGATTGGGATGTGCTGGCTCAGTGCCTTATCGCTAGGCGCCTTACCCATTCTGGGCTGGAACTGCCTCCACAACCTCCCTGACTGCTCCACCATCTTGCCTCTCTACTCCAAGAAGTACATTGCATTTTGCATCAGCATCTTCATAACCATTCTGGTGACCATAGTGATCCTCTATGCACGCATCTATTTCCTAGTGAAGTCGAGTAGTCGCAAGGTGACCAACCACAGCAACACGGAACGGTCCATGGCCCTGCTGCAGACCGTGGTGATTGTGGTGAGCGTGTTCATCACCTGCTGGTCCCCACTCTTCATCCTTTTCCTCATTGATGTGGCTTGCAGGGTGAAGGAGTGTGCCGTCCTCTTCAAGGCCCACTGGTTCATCATGCTGGCTGTACTCAACTCTGCCATGAACCCCATCATCTACACGCTAGCCAGCAAGGAGATGCGCCAGGCTTTCTTTCGTTTGGTCTGCAACTGCCTGGTCAGGGGCCAGGGTGCCCACCCTTCACCCATCAAGCTTGCTCTGGATCCAAGCCACAGCAAATCAAGCAGCCACAACGGGCAACCACTCTCCGAAGATCAAGGACAACCTTCCCCAGATACACAGCTCACCCTGCATCACTGAAACAGCAAAACCCTAACAAATGTTCTTTGCAAGTGAGGATGCTGGCTTTCGGGAGCAGAGAGACTTCACACATTGCTCACTGTTAAATTACAGGGGGAGACAACACCCCCGCTGCAGGCAGCATGCCCAAGGGTTTCTTCAAGAGCTGGGACTCAGGAAATGTACTGTATGTAGCTTGACAGGCTGCTCATTGTTTGACTTCTTTGGGAGCAGAGCCCAAGGAATTGCTAACTTATTTCAATGCAGACAACATACTTGATGTGCGCGGCTCTCAAGCCCTCTTTGACTAGATTAATCTGCTTCCATGATTAGCATCTTTATGAATCTCTGTTGTTCTCCATGCGTCACACAAGTGCAAGCAGATAGTTTTGATAACTTTACATTTTGCTTATGGTTCAGAGAAGGCACTTATCTCTGTTATACTGCCTTTGTCCATTATTTGCTATGTGCTTCCTACATGATGTTGCAGTACATTGAGCTATATAGGTTATGCTGCACATGTGTTCTGATTGAACAAACAGCTATACGAGTATGGTTATGGGTTAGATGGACATGCTTATCTTGGAGGAGCCTGGTGGTGTAATGGGTAAAACATTGGACTATTCACCACAAGGTCAGCAGTTTTATTCCACTAGCTGCTCTGCAGGGGAAAGATGAGGGTATATCCTCCCATAAAGATTTACCGACTCAGAAACTGTCACCTCTACTCTGTCCTATAGAGTCACTCTGAGTCAGAATCAACTAACTGAATGGCAGTCCATTGATTTTTTTTTTCTCTTCATAGTCTCCTCCAATTGATAAAAAAAAAAAAAAGAAAGAAAGAAATCTAGATTTAAGCAAGTTTTTAAGGTACTACTTCCCCCAAAAGATTTTATCCATGACTGGTCCTAATATGCAGATCTGACCTCACCTACATTGCAAATTGAACTGAGTCGGTGGACATAGGTTCTGCTCAATCAGGGCCTGGCATTTTCTCAATTATATGTTCCTAACATAATTGTAAAGCAGATCAAGAAGCTAGATTACCTATTTCAGCATTTCTCTAGCTCGCAGAAAACCAGCAAAGGTCTCGCAGGGTTCCAAAGAAAGACTCACAAGGGCCGGGCTGTGAAACAGACTGTGGGTCTGTTAGCATTTCCGAGTCACCAGAGATAGCAATTTGTCTAAGGGAATGACCCGCACTTAGGCCTTTATTCGAAAAGCGCCAAGTCAATATTAGAAAGCAAAGTTCACAGCTTCCTGAAAGTTGATGATAACATAAGAATAGTTTATTTGTTTGGTTGGAAAGCATCATCTGGCACTTCTTTGCATTCTTCAAAAAGATGTTTTAATAAAAGGTTGAACTTGTACCAGTCTGTTTACCTTATAAAAGGATTACTGAGAAGGCATTTATATATATATATATATATTACTCCCCAAGTACTCTACATGTAAAACAAATATGTGGGAAAATACTCATGAATGCAGTTGTTATAAGCATATGTTGATGTTTTCTGTCAGTTCTTTGCTGTTTTAAAAGACCTTAAAAAGGAGCCTTAATTGAGCAAACTACTCCTCAAAGACCCTGGGGGGTTAGATTCCACATACTGATGGGATTTCATGAAAAGCAGTGCATTCAAGTATTAGTTAAGGAAATGGAAAACAATAAAGACAGTGAAGAGATGAAATCTTCGGTATTGCATTTTCACTTTTTTATACCATAGTCTTGAGTTGCTTTGGGGCCCTGATGATCTAGTAAGACTAACATGGCATCATCCTGTCTTCCCTAATCTCTAAACATTTCGGCGGCATCCATTCATCGACTATTCCGGAAGTCCCTAGTAGGAGACAGCAATGCCATGGTATTGTGCACACTGCTTTGGATAAACCAACAGTCTTAAACAACCTGAAATAAATGTACAGCAGTGTGCTTATTTGAAGTTACAAAAAAAAAAAATCAACTTTGATCCATCATTTAACTTAAGTCTCCACTCGGTACATCCATCACTCACTAGGCTGAGGGAACTTACAAGTTGAATATTTCAAATCCATAATCCTCAAGTTTGATGATAGGTGATCTCACATGCCACAGAGAACCTGTGTATTAAATGGCATTTCAATTAGTAACCTTTATTATGTTCAGTATATTTGTTTAAAAATAAAACAGAACTTTCATATAAACTTGTTCTTGAGAGTCCATGTTGTGGAATTATTACCCCAAGGGCCACCAGTGGGGTTGTGGGAAGTGTCGGCCTTGCTTCTCACTTGATACAAGTGCTTCCCAGTCTTCCAGAAACTGAATCACTTCAAGAACCTCCAATATCATTTTTTCTACCACCTCACTACCATAATGTGTTGGTGACATTACTTATACTGATTTTTATAGGCCCACGTGGTTTTAAGAAAAGTCAACGTATTTCCCCTTAACTAGGGAGAAAAATGTAAGGGTTATAGCAATAAAAATAGAGATGAAAGAGATGGGATATCTATCTATCTATATATCTCTATCTCTATCTATCTATCTATCTATCTATCTATCTATCTATCTATCTATCTATCTATCTATCTATC